CCTGATATGGAGAGTCTGCCTCCAGCTCAAGAGGCACGCTCAGCTCTTGAGATAGATCCCAGCCAGCAGTGCTTAAGGGGAGAAGTCATTTCTTGCATGGACTTCCAAAACAAGCAAGTCAACAGCAAGGAAAAGGTCCATGCACCTCCCACTATCCTCTCCAGAGCATCCTATGTGGTTTCAGAGATGCAGGTGTAACGTGTCCCAGGATGGGTCTGGACTTGAACCCTACAGCAACAAGGGTGACAAGGATCCTTCAGAAATGCGCATGTAGTCTGTACAGACCAAAAGATTTGTGTTTATACTGTGCAAAAACAATTAAGGAAGCCTCATGAAGGGAACCAGTTTCATAGGGGGATACTGCCTAAAGAGAGATCTTCCAGTGTAGGGGGGAGGAATTTTCTTGTTCTCCATTTCTGCCCTCCTGTACTTTTGTACTAAACACTCTTGGCTCCTAAGGAGACTGTGGTTATACCCCTGACTTCAGGGTCCTGAAGGCAAAGGCTTGCTTGTGTCCCTCATTCTGGATGGATAAAAGGAAAAGGGAATGAGAACATGACAATTTTTTTTTTTTTTTCCTTGGGTAACAGCAGCCCCCTTTAATAGTGCCCCATGGATCTGTAAGACATGCTTGACCAGACATACCTCTGGAAGAGGTCAGCACTCCTGGGATTAAGAAACTTAGCAACGCTCCAGAGAGGGAGTTGGAAAGTCATGTTTAATGATACTTTGCTGAGAAACTGGGCAAATTTAATTAAAACGTCACTTACTCAAGCCCAGTGGAACTAATTGAGTGCTCTAATATTCCGACTTTTCATTAATGGGTTACAAAAGAGGGCTGCACTTGTGTGAACAAGGGGGGAAAAAGGGGGAGGATATAAAGAAGAAGAGAGCTTTAGCAAGGCTGCCTGTGCTTCATTTAATATAACCAAGAAACTTCATTGCTAGCAACTGAGCTTTAATACAGTTGACTTCTCTCACCACCACCGCCCCCCATCCCCTCAACACATACACACATTCCCCCAACACACACACTCTCCACCCAAGACTCTGATGAAAGAATAGCTGAATGAGCAAGAGTAGATTTGGCAAAGGAAGGGAAATTGCTTTTTTAATAAGTGGTCTATTCAGAACTCCTACTTTTCAATAAAGAGAAGGCTGGAGAAGTCCTGGTCTAATTACCTCATCCTCACACTAGACAAGCTCACCCTTTCATTAGCGATTGAGGTCATATCATATAACTTTGTGAGCCATCACAGGCACAACATGTTCAGTGATTATTTCATTGGTGGCAGCAAAATTACAGTCAGCCCATCAAGGTTGTAAAAAACAGAAGTAAAATAATAACTAAATGAGAACGTCTACCAAGAGACACTAAAACTAGGCGGGATAGGATAATGTCACCCTTGCAGAAATACGCAGATTGTTTGCTAGTGTGACACCATGGAGAAACTGCTGTGTTGACCAGAAGGGTATAGGGGTGGTTGCCAAATCAGTCAATTAAGCACAGGTCCTTTTTCTGCTGGGTCTCAAGGGACTATTTATACATTTTGCCATGGGCGGGAGTAATTAGATGAGAAGGATTACATGTTGTTAAGAATCAGAGACCACCAAGCTTGTGCTATATCTTTAATGGATATTCCTCCACTCCCTCAGTGAACACACACATGGACATCCATACATACACTGGAAGTACAGCATTAGTTGGCACTACAGCAAGCTCCCATAACAAAACCAAGTGCTGGAAAAGAAAGTCTCATTGTCCGTCCTCAGCCCAGTTCAGGTTTCGGTTCATGCATGTATAGCTTCACTAACAGACATAAAATCAGCAATTTGGTTAGAGGAGAAACACAGCACGTGCTGAGCAGGAATTCAAGAGAGCTGGCTTCAGTCTCCTGCTCCATCATCTGCTTGCTGCATAACCTCAGGAAAGGCATTCAGTTTGCATCTCAGCGTGTGCTTGAAATGGCCATAATCATCTTCTCAGAGCTCACAGGGACATCAGAGGCCATAAGAGCATCTTAGTTATACAATGAGCACTCCAGTTCAAAATTGTTCGGTTTTAAAATGGCACAAATTAAGTCTATCTGTACTCCTCCTCTATTGCCTCTGATTCACATCAAATCAAATACACATGAGTTATTGTTCAAATAACCAAACTAGGTTAGTTCAAAGTGATTTCAGACTGTCATAGCCACTGGGTTAGCATCTCCTGCTACTCAGTAGTTGGAAAGTCTATATGGCAGCACCTGATGGGCAGCTTCTTTGGAGAAAGATGACTACAGGAAAGTAGTCATGTTGAGTTCCATATTTAACACACTACTTTCATCAAGGAAAATATCAATAAATCCAGCAAGGGAATCTAGTACAGCCTGCTGAGCAACTCTCATCCTCCACCAGCGCTGCACTTGCAGTGGGACCAGGAGGAAGGAAGCAGATTGAACCTGATATTAATCTACACCTGAGTGTAAGCAATGCCAGAAACAATCCATCAACCACACCAAAAAGGTCAATGCTCAGGCTTCAAATCAGTTTGAATATTCTGACGTCTGAAGCAAGTGCTGCAAGTTTTGACCTTGCAATTACAAAGCCAGCCTGGGTCCTCATCTTTGATGAACATCTCTGATCATCATCTTAATGACACCATACTGTGCCAGTGGTTTACGTCCACATATCTTGACTAGATAGGCGTATGCTCTCCTGATCTTAAACCACCATCTTCCTAAAAGCTCCCTTCTCAACATGCACTTCACTTGTTCCCTGCTTGGCTTCATGGTGGTGGTGTGAATCTGGTGGGCTGCTCGGCTTGCCTTACAACCAGTCTATGGTACAATTATTCTACGAGCATAAACAGAGAAATCATTTCAACCGCTGCTGCAAATAGGCAAGGAAAGCTGTCAGACAGCAATACCAACTCGACAGACACGGCGTGGGTGGACAAAAATAGGAACACCGAATCACTGACCTGCAGCAAAGGTCTTTGACTTGGATTGCCATGAGGGCTCTCAGTGTCTGGACAACCGTCACAACTGTTACTCAGCTGTTTAGCTGCAGATATTACACTAGTGCTTAGAAACCACTGCCAATGACCAGAGCCTGACTGTGCCAAGTAAAGTTGAGGCAAGGATGCAAGAGAGTCCCTGACATCTCCCCTTCCCTGGGAACTAACTCACAGTGGGATCAGGACAAGAAAGGGAAGGAAGAGAGTGGAGATTCACTCCCCCCAGTTCATCCTTGGAGTTTGCTTAGCTCAAAGTCGAAGAGACAGCGTAGAGCAGAGATGACAAATAAGGATACCTAACCCAATTCCAAGACAGGGTTGTAGCCATATGGGCATCCTGACTGCAGCTACTGGAGTGGAGAGCACTGGTAGTTAGACCAAATCCCTTGGGCAAGTTTTTTAGCCCCACCACTGCTGGAAGGGAGATACTCATGGAGTTACAAAAACATGTCAACAGCACCTAAAGCCGCAGACTTGTAGGTTTTGATGACACTGTATTATATGGCTCTGGAAAGTGAGGAGAGCTGGGACATCTCACAGAAATCTCCGGCACGAAATCACAGCCTCCATGGACCATTTTCTCCATTTTCAGTCCCATCTGCTACACGGCCAACTCTTTGGAGTTGGGGCAGGCTCTCGGGAACAACCAACCACAAGGATTAAAGCAAATTTCATCACCCTGCAAAGCCTGTTTCACACGCCAAAGAGCTGCAACAGGAGTCCAGAGGCTCTGAGCCTTTTAATCCAGAGGCAGAAAAGCTGTCAGCCAAAGCCAGACACCAGCTAAATCCAGGATATTTCTAATCCTGATCTCAGCACTGTCTAGGAGCATCTGGTAGTGGGGAGAGGGGGAAACTTTTCACTGGCCTGCACTCGCTGGTGGCATTCTCCGATGCCCCAACTCTGTCTCGAGGAATGACATTTTATGCATACGCACAGGAACAACTGAGCTGGGGTGGCGATTCCTAGAATGCACAACTGGCTGGGCTGCATTTCCCTGGGAAACTGGAGACCCAGGTCCCCGATCCCAGCCCCAACCCTCCATCCAATCACACGGACAATAACAAGGCTCGATGGCTATTTATAGCCTTACAGTATGTCCCCCTCTGAGGTTGGCGCAATGAAACACTGATCCTAGGCACCTGTGCTGGCCAGTCTGAGGGATTTTCGTGTTCGAGCAACTCTAGGCTAGGTAAAGCCAAGCAGATTATGGGAGAAGGTGGAAAGACCCTTCCTTTCCCCTCTCTTGCTGGCATGACCCAGCAATTGCAGATATTTTGTCCTTTACATCAGTCCTGCAGAAAGGCTCCCATGCATGAGGGTAAAGCCTCGTGGGAAGAACATGGGGTAAAGAGCAGTAAGTCCTCCAGCAGAGAAGACAAGAATGGGAAAAGAAAAAAAAGAAAAAAAAAAAAAAAGGGACTCTACCCCAAGCACTGTCAGGGGCAAACCCAGAAGCTCTAGGCAATATGGAAGACTCCTGCCAGAAAACAAGGCTGAAAGGATATTTTACAACCGAGGTCAGAGTAATATCTCCATCCTGGTTTCCTGCCAGGTGTTTGTCCAGCCAGTTTTAAAGAAACCTGGCTATGGAGATGCTAGACTGTCCATGCTCTACCAAACTGCTGCAAGAAAAACATCCCTCAACCTGTGTTGTGGAAGCGTAAATCCCTTCCTCCACGTCCTACCTTGTGTAAGCCTGTCTCTCCATCCCTTTGTAGCATAGGACCCTCTCCTCCCTGTGGAAAGCCAGCAATACTGGTCCCCACCACGTTTTCTAGACCTGGACAGTCCCGTTTCTTTCCCTCTGGTCTCCCTCCAACAGTTTTGCACAACTCTTGAAGCACAGTGACAGAACCAGGGCATAGTCTCATAACTGAGACTCCACCCCTCCAGCAGAAGGATCACTCCGTGCATTTTTGCATCCGACACAGAAATGCAGCACCTTATTCCCCCCACAAAGGCATGAACCCCCTACCCTGAGCAATCTGCAACGCACCTTCATCCCCACAAGGTTATTGTGGAAGTCCACCCTGGCTCGCAGGTCCTTGTTGGGCTTCCTCCCCAGGAACTCCTTGACAAACTTGTTGCTGTATTTCAGGTTGTCACCGCAGCCGCCCCACTGCCAAGCCTCACGGTTCTCCAGGTCAGGGGCCTCATCGCAGGTGCAACGCTCCATCCGCCCCGCACTACACGCCTTGGCCATGGCGTGCGTCAGCCCCGCGGAGGAGATGGCGTACAAGAAGGCTGTCTCCTTAAAACCTGCAAGAGAGAAGAGGAGGTGGCTTTAATTGCAGCTGGAGAAAGGGTTAAAGAAAGAAAAAAGAGGAAACTGAGGCAAAACCCGTTGTGAGAAGACCTTGAGCGATGTCAAAGCATGCCGAGCTCTACGTGCGTCACTGATGGTAGAGAGGACACAGCAGAGGGCAAGCAATGATGGATAGAGGTGGCACGAGCCAGGATTCAGGAATGCAGATGAAATCTGGCCAGCTCTGTGACTGTCACTCTGTGGACAGTCTCTGGCTGAAAACAGAAAAATGTGAGCAAGAGATGGACAGGCCACGGAGGTATCATCACCATGGTACAGCAATACTGCTACCAAGGGGGACACAAAATAGCAGGAACCCAGCATAGACTTCCAGTCTGATGGTTGGGGTAGAAACCATGAGCAGTCCTTGTTCTTCCCTCTCACCCTGAAAAAAAAAATCACCAAGTCCTACTCCAGTCAAACAAAATTGTTAACAGAAGACACCTGAGGGCTGAGAAGCACACAGTAGTCAGCCTGTCACCCAACACAGCACCTCATACAAATGCCTTAAAAAGCAGTTTACACCTCAAACCTTTCATGCACAACCTTTTTTTACACCTCCATGCTCACCCGCAGGGATGCAACAGCACTTGCTCCCCCCCAATAGGTAAACTGAGGCCCAGAGAGATTTTGATCCATGATTTTGATCCAAATGATAAAAGCCAGAAATAAAAAGCAAACATGCCAGTATATATAGCTTCTCATTCTCCAGCTATGGAAGCCGTAAACAACTGCATATTTGAGATGCAATTCCAGAACAGCTTTGGATCCAACTCAAGAAATCCCCCACTCAAAAATAACACAAGTGGATGGTGACAGTAGTGGATATATCTGTAAGCTCGTGTGTCAACCAAGGACATGCAGAGACACTGCCAGGTCATTTTTGGAACTGTTCCTTGGGACGTTCATGGTAGTCTAAGCAAGCTCATGGGGCAGTACCCTGGCCCATCCCCAGAGCCTGTTCTTCCCAAAGCACTCCCAAGCGCAAGATGCTGAACTTCAACAGAAGACTGATGAAAATCCAGTCCAGAAGACTGAGGTTTGGTCTTCCCAAGGACCTTCATACATGAATTGCCTGTCTGTTTCACTGCGCACCTGGAAAAGAGCAGGAACATTTCCCTCACTGGAAGGAAGGTTAAAATAAAAAACGCTCAACTCCACATTCACTGAGGATACTGTACAGGGTGGTCAGAGTTAAGGAACTAACTTTGGGGTGTTTTTCCCCTCTTAGTTTTCTCCGTGAAGTTAATCCATATCCTCTGACACCCCAGAAACATCTTCAGCATTGCAAATTCTCTCATTGGGGGTGGTGGGAGAATTCTTTACTTAATTGACACAACAAACTCATGGGTATGCAGACCACCAAACTCCTCCAGACAAAAAATACCTTCTAAGCACCTTTCATCTTTTACAGGCTAGTTCAGCTTTTTCTAGGTTACGCTCTAGGTCAGACTGCCCACACGTCTGTCAGAGGGATGCCACTGCTGCCAGAGAGAGATGCTCCTAAACCTTCATGCTCCCAGATTGTAGAATTGGCCTCTTGCCAACAGCTACTGCTTCTGCTACGACATGGTGAGGTACCAGGGTGCTGACAGAAAGTCCTTGATGGAATAGAGCGTGTAAACCCTCCTCTGAGAGTCTGGGACACTGCAATTAGGAGCAAACAGCCTGGATGTGGTCCGCTTGAGCAGATAGCCCAGATCTACAACCTGCTTGACGGCCTCCTGGTTTGAAGCACTGAATTCAGAGTGGTTGCAAAATCTCGGTAGAAATTCAGTGCCGTGCAACCACAGTACATACCAGGTCTGATAGAAAGCCAGGAGGACTAGTTCATTTTCCAGGTTCTCCCCCTGCTTCCATCAACCTCCTCATCAGCTTCGGCCCTACTCCTCCCATTCTCCATCACTGGAAGCTTCGCAAACTCCTGGTGCCCATCAACACGGGTATCATCTCGCCCACAAGCAGCTCAGGCGGCTTCCAAGCAAGTCCATGTGACATTTGGCTCTGGCCAGATTTAAAGCCATCTCTGCCATGCACTATTTGATTGCACCGAGATATTTTGTAACAAGATAATGAGCTTTAAATCAATGCAGGCATTCTAACCCCCAGTGCATCGACAGCCTGCCATCCGCAGCTATCCAGTTTCAGCCATTTCCAAAATTGTTCGCGAGTATCCAAAGAGGATAAAAAGTCCCTTAAACAATCCCCTGTTATTTTAAGAAACGGGCTGCATCAGCCCAAGTTGCAAACCAGCGGCCAGGCTGTTCTGGTAACCAAGTGTAAAAATGGAGGGAGAAACTTTTCTTAAGTGAAATGGAGCGGGGGGGGGGGGTTGCCTTTTTTTCCTCTTCTTAAAAAGCTGCAACGGTCCTGGAGGAAAGGAAGCGAGCCCACTCTGACGTATTTGAATAGCTGTGTCTTAGTGGGTGATACATGTGCCCCTTTGCCCTGGGGTATCACTTGCTGCAATGCTGAACCAGGAACCAGCAGCTCCCGGAGAGGAGGAGAAAGATTTACAGGGCAGCGTGTTATGCTGCAGGAACAACCTCTGAAGGATTTACAGCATCGGTGGAGGGCAGAGATGTTGCAGGGGCATAAAACACAGAAAAATGAGACAGCAGGCAGAGCTTTGCAACCCTCAGAGCTGCCATTTATTACACGGGGTCTTGACAAGGGGTGTGGGGAGCAGCTCTCAATGGTGTTTTAAGGCAGCTGAACTTCAGGCTGCTTTGAAATACCCCTTGCAGAGGGCTGCCCACCGGGACAGGCACATCTGAAGGAACAAGCTGTGGCCTCCAGGTGTCAGCATGAGAAAGTGCTTGGCTTTCCCAAGGCACCACTAACCCAGGGACTCCTCTGGCATGCAGGGATATTTTTAAATGTCTTGCAGCTCTGGATAGACCTCTTGGGTTTCATAAGGACTTTCCTTGTTTCCACCACAGTCAGTGACAGTGCATTAGTTAAGCCCCAGCACTTCTGAATTACTCCTTCTCACTAATTAGTGAAGGAGTGCAAACCTCTGCTCTTATCTTTGAGTACATCGGACCCTGGGTTTCTAGGTCCAGCTCCATTTCTGAGTGTAGGACTTTCTGGAAGTCACTAAAGCCCTCAAGACCCACGCAAGCTATCTGTGAAATGGTCCCACTGCACTGTTAGATACCAACCAGAAATAAAAACAGGATGTTACTGGGAGGGTGCAGGAAACTGGACTATATGAGGTAGCACAAAAGGAATGAGACAAAACTACCATTTGCTCTTCCAATATTCTCTCTCATCTTCTGGTTTTCTCTACCTGAGCTGATGGGAAGGGGTGTAGGAATTACCTACCACTCACATCCAAAGAGCTTTTCCCTGGGTAGAGCAGTTAAAGGACACAAACATTTGCGTGTTTTGCTCTGCACTATGATATGAGTCCCCTTTGCCCCCCCGGCAGGACAGCACAGAACAGCCCATTTTGCCTTATTTCCCTTAAAAAGGCATTTTATCAACTTCTTTCCTGAAAGGCTGACATAATAAATAGGAAAAAAAAAAAAAAATTGGGAAAAAAAAAAAAAAAAGGGGGACAGTTTTGGGAACTTCGACACCTTTCCCTCTAGCAACAGTTCAACTTCCAGCAGATGTGAGGAGCAACCATGGCCAGTGGCTGCAGACACATGAACGAACATCTCCAGCCTCCAAAGAGACAAGCCATGGCCAGCAACGGGAAGCAGACAGGGTTTGCTTCACTAGTACAAGTACATAAAATTACCACCACGTAGCACCTTCCTTTGCCTCCTGCGCACTTTCACGGATGAGCTGAGCCTGGTTGGGTGTTTACCTTCCACAAGCTCTTTTTGGACTTCGGAGGAGGGGGTGGTAACTCACCGCTGGCAAAGGATGCACCAGGATGACCGCTCTGCAAAAGGCCAGGGAAGCAGATGGGTGCAGGGGGGTGCCAAGACCCCCACCCCACTCACCTCTCTTTAGCAAGCTGGCCCGGTAGCGACCCTCGAGGGTGCAGTTCCAGCGCTCGAAGCGAAACTGGTACTGACACTCCAGCGCGCTCATGCTGATGGCCTCCATCAGGGTCTCGGCCACGCCGGGATCCCGCCGGCACATCCTGCGCTGCTTCTTCTCCAGCTTCAGGCGGTCACAGACTTTGTAGTGGGCTTTGATGGCAGCTTCCTCCATTTCTGAGGTCAGAGGGAGGATGGTCAGGGGTTCGTTCCCCGTCAGCCTGCAGAGGAACAGAGGGGGCACAGCGGTGAGAAGAGAGAAATACAGCCCTTAGTAGAAATGGGGGCCACGGTGGGATCAGGTCCCTCCCTGGCTGAGCACCCATGGGGGCTTGCTGATGTCTGGGCAAGGTGAGTGGTTTTACAGCGAGGCTCTCTGCAGTGCGTGTGCAAGGTGGGAGCAAGAGAAGGGCAAGAAGAAATACCTGGATTTATGTTCTCTACCAACTCTCACAGAGCTTGTTTGGACATAAGACCTTGGCAATCTGCACCACAGGACTGTGCTGAAAACTGAAACAGGAAAGAAATCTTGAAGGTACCCAACCGCATGACCTTTGGAAACCAGCAAAAATACAAAAGCACTACAGTCGCTCTCGTGTACATAAACAACAACAAAAAAAAAAAAAAAAATCATTTTAGGACATCGAGCAGAGCCAGAACTGGCTTGGGAAGGGATAGAGGATGATTGTCCCACCAGACCCCAAGGGACGAAAGTGAGAAAGCACGTACAGCCACCCTGCCCTCCGCAGAAGAGATCCTGACATAAAACCTAGCGAGCCACAGCCTGAGGCTGGAGAGCAGGATACACTTTCCAGGCGATACTGCCAAAAGCTTTTACAAGGCAGAACAAGCTCAAAACCTAAAAATTGACCTGAAGACATTTGTGTCCCGTCGCCTTCTCCCCTCCCCTGCCTTCTCCAAGCACAAGGTCCTTGACTCGTACAATGTGCAACAAAAGAAGCCAGCGTACTGTTCCCGGTGTCAAGTGACAAGCTGCTGGAAAAGGACCAGGCTGGCATCAGCCCCAGGGAGCAGAGAGGCTGCAGAAACATCTGCTGGGCTCATGAGCGGTTTGTTGGCCAGGCTGCCCGCACCCCACTCTCCTGGCTCTGCCCTTTTTCGGCTAGGTGCCAGTCCACGCAGTCAATGGGAATCACTATGCAGGGTTTCGAAGGACCTGGAAGGCACGTTTCCCCAGCCAAAAAGGAAGAATTGCCTAAAGCTAGAATTGAAAACGTGCTGGAAAATTGCAGTCCTGCACAGGCGAGGATGGGTCGCAGGCTCAGACATCTCCATTGCTGCAGGACCAGCGGGGGAAACGGGGTGATGGGCAGGAGGGGAGCACACACTCATCCCCCTTCACTGAATGCAGATGAATCCTGAAAACCCTTTAAAACCCCATCTGTCTTGCAGGAGCAGTGATTTTTTTGTTTTGTTTTGTTCCTTTTTTTTTTGATGAGTATTTCTCTAATCAGTGGGATGCAACCTGCCAGGAGCACAGTCCCCAAGGGCGAGCAGCTAGGATACTTTAACTCCCAAACCTCCTTGCGCAATTGCCACAAAATCCTGACCTGAGCCACAACCAGCAACATCCAGTACAGGTTCAATCACTAACTGATAATTTGATGAGGTGATTTAACATCAGAAGTCTAAAAGAAAGAGGAAAAAAAAAAAAAAAAAAAGGCTCAATTTGGATTTTTAGGAGAACAAAGAGATGCGCGGGGAAATGCTCTCCTTCAAGTTTCAGTCAGAAGTGTTAGGATTTCCAGGAAAAAAACAGCAGTGGTAAACATGAAGAGTCAGAGTGATTTGTGGGAAACATGGAAAACTAATGTAACCCAGTGTAAGTTTCCACAATAATAGGGGTTTTTTCTCCAAAATTCTGCTCCCCAAATTTGATAAAAACATCCAAAAAGCCAAACAACAAGCTGCATCTGAAGCACTGACAAATGTTAACCCTTAAGTTTTGGCTCTGCCTCCACTGGGACAGAGTGTGGACTTGGTCTCAACTGCTTCCCAAGGAGACAGGACATCACCCAGCCTCGGTGCCTTGTTAACTGAAGCTCTGAGCAGGTTTGCTCATGAAAAAGGTGGCTTTGCTCTGAGCTTCACAGCAGTAAATACCTGAAACAAAACCTCCAGGACATTCATTCCTGGCCTTCATCATTACTTCTGCTCTGAAGGTTCATTCCTGCAAGCTTTCACAGTTGGTGCAAGAGATATCCGCAGCTGGCAAAGAAGAGAGAGGGAGGCATAAAAGCATTTTCTACAGCTCCCCCTCCCCAATTTACCTCTCCAACTGAGCAGGTACTGTTCAGCTAAATGTTCTGGAAAACAAAAGCTCCAAGTATTGTGTAGCAGATGGCTATCACAGTGAGGAGGGATACAGGAATTGATCCTACCTGGAGATTTCTGCAGACCAATTGGTGATTTTGAACCCCACCCTCCCCCTTTAGGTGCTTAGCTTTGAGGTATTTCAAAGTGTGGTTTCCCACAGATCAGCCTTGCAAAACTTGCTGCTAGCACAGCCCAATTGCAGGTGTCTCCCATAAAAGTCACCTAAATAAAAAACAAAATAAAGAGCCAGGGATAGGGAGAAGGTAGAAAATAGGATTCGTGGTGCTGCAGAGTACCAGAGGACAGGTCTTCAGCAGCCACTTAGAACTAGTGGATAGAAAGTCCTGGGAAATAGAGAACTGAAGCATTAAATGGACTAATTGTCATCAACGTCCATATTGATTGCTCTGTGCAAAAGGCTTAGGTAGGAGTTCACCAGCTCTGATATCAGGGACACGTGGATAATGGCCACAGTGGTCTGATAAATCTGGGCCAGCACGCAGACACCTGCTTCACCCCTTCCTGAGAAAACCTCCCGAAGACAAGACACCAACACGATGTCCTACAGAGAAGTCAGAATAACACATCTTCCCACCTTCTGTTTCCTGACCCATCTCTGCCCTCACCCATTAGAGAAAAGGGGACGTGAAAGTCCAAACTGGTGAAAAACGAGCCATGCAACACAGATGCTGAACAGAGACCCGTCCGTCACTGTCTGCCTTGCTGCTCGAACTAATTTCACTGACTGGTCTGAATCAGAGGAAAGCATCTCCAGGACAAGACGAGAAGTAAATTCAGGGAAAAGGAGCTTTTCCTAGCCAACAAGCAATGAAGCTCTTCCAGGTAAAGACCTCCATGGGCAAAAGCAGCACATGGGCACGCACACATACGTTTTCCCTCCTCCCCCAGAGCTGGATGAGTGCCCGTTTCAGCAGAGGGGGGACCGATGAAGCAGCCTCAGGTCTGCACACACGTTCCAGCAGCCCCGGGAAGGGGGGTGAGGTGGCATTTCTCAGAGCGTGGCATCAATAATAAACAAGCACAGGCAGAGCCAAGGAGAGCCGGTGCCCCCACCTGAAATGCTGCCTTGGAGCTGCCGCTGCATGGAACCTTTATAATCCTATAAAGCTCTTTTATGCAACCTAGGCTGAGTGAGGTCCCGTAAGGCAACGGTGTCAGAGTCGGATGCTTTCTCAGCTCCTCACAAAGACTGAGCTGTTCCTTCTAAGGAAATTTTTTGGGAAGAAGGGGGGGTGTTTTTTATTTTATACACATCCAATCCACAACTGTTATGATTAAACTGCCAGCCAGCACCCTGTCCAATTGTATTATTTTGGATTGAGGGGGCTGAGCATGAGATGAAGGTGTGTTTGTCCATTAGGAGCCTGGAGAGAGACCAAAAAACCTCACTGCACACCACCCAGGAAGCTTTAACTCTCTGGAAATTAACTCTGGCCTCTATCAGAGCAATACGAATCTACAAAGTCAAGAGGCTGTTTCTGCTTCAGACTTTGACCTAATCTTCCATGCACCTTGCCTGAATTCTGAGTGGCACACTTGTACCGTCCAGGCCTCAGGAAGGACCAGGCTCCTCAGTGCCATCCCCACCTCGCTGAGAGGAACCTTTGCAAGATCATTTGCCGTATCCTCCCTCCAGTTCAGTCTGTCACTAGTTTGAAGCCAGAAAACCAGAAGGTTTATTATCTCCAGATGCAAATAGCAAGACATATTCGGTTTACACATACTTTATTAGTGGCATTCGGCTGCCTTGGTTGTGAAGTTCATGTCAAACATTGCTATTTGCTTTGTTTTCCTGGAGTTCAGACTCCAATCACCCAGGCTTGGGAGAGATACCAAACACAGCCCCTGCCTCCACACAACTCACACCGATGGCTGCATAGCCACGTTTTGTCTGTCACACCATGGAATTACTGCCCTTCCATAGAGGCAAGTCAAGATGAGTCCTGCTTTCAGCTCATCTCAGAAGTCAAGATCTTTTATTTCCTCATCAGCTCACTCTTTCAGTGTCCCTGGGTTTAACTGGGAATTTTCCTAATGAGAATTTGAGGGGGATGAGACAGAAGGTGGCTGCATAGACCTGTGAGTGCACTCTTATTTTTGACATGCTCAAGAGTTTCCTTTGCAAGTGCCGCCAGAGACACAAGCCAAGGTGAGCTGCTTTCCTGCAAGGAAATGTCTCTGCTGTACCCACCTGGAATGACAGGCCTGATGAAATATTGCATTCCTAACCCAGCACTTCCTCCTCTCTCAGGAGATTTATCTTTGGTACATCTGCACAACTACCAAATTGATCCTATTTTCATTTATTGCATGAACATGTTTCTTGCAGTATTGCTACTCTCCCAACCCTTTTTCTTCACTTTCCACCATTTCTCTTGCCTTTCTTTTAATAATTACAAAAAGTTTCTGAAAAGCTGACAACTTGAACACTAACCTTCTTCACGGCAATACCTAAATCAATGACCCCACAACTCAAGGAGTCAGACTGAGTTACGATGGACACCAAGCCTATGTTGTTATTTTTTGCATCCAACAACCTTCAGTTGCCCCCCCCTATCCAACCACACTCCTGCACTGTGAAGAATCTTTCCTAAATTGATTTACCATGGTTCTTCTATCCTACAAAGGCTAATTGCCATTTGAAGTATAAGAAGCCAAAAGCCCAAGAAAACTCTGAATTCCATGGTGAGTGATGAAGACTTCATATTTGGAGCAAAAGTTGGCCACTGAAGAACCAACTGTCTCATTCTGCACTGTGTTGTTTGGGTTTAAGTGTTCACAGGTACAAGTGCCACCACTGTGCTCATACTAACTCAATATATCTGAAGAGCACTCACCAACCTCAGTTCTGCTCTTCCCAGAG